ACAGCCCAGAGGAAGAAGATCAAATGCTTATGCCCATCACCAGATGAGCAGATTCATACATTTAGTTACATACGTAAAGTGAAATATTATCCAACCATAAAAGGGCAAGCCTTGGAAACATTCTAAGTGAAAGACGAACATAAGTCACATAATGCATGAATTTTTAAATAAAGCATCTATAATAGAGATGTTGTTAAGGCAGAAAGACACATCGTGTTTGCAAAGGAAAGAGGAAGAATGCATGTGGAATTTCTCTGAGGCCATAAAGAATTCACACTAAAGCACACAAGGGTTGTACAATATGATTACTGTGACAAATGCCATTGGATTCTACATTTTAATATGTTTAGCATTACATGAGTTCCACCTCTGCTGAAAGAGGATAAAAACAACACTGTCAGATATGTATTCCTGGTGAGAAATGCATAATAAAACAATGTATGTGTACAGGTACTCAGGCTTACTGTATGATGAAATGTCTGTCACTTTTGAAAACAGGAACATAAAGGACATGGACAACAATAAACAGCTTAGGATGTAAGTAAAGAGAGCAGGCAGCAACAGAAATCTCCAGGAAGAACTGGAGCAAACCATCCACAGTAAAGGAAAGATCAGTCTACCTTCTACAGACACAATCTCACTTTATTATAGATCCTATATGATACATAAAGAGCTGGTAGAAGGTGTTTGGACTGGGCAACACACATATATATACATATGAAAGGGTTTAATTTGAGCTACCCTACAGAGGAGATGCTTCTCTAAAAACCTATGGGTTAACAAATAAAAAGCCATATGTATGTATGTACATATGTATGCATGTATGAATATATTTAAAGATCACAAAATTGGAGGTGTAGGGAGGAGGCTAAATCTGGAAGGAGTTAGTTAGGGGGAAAGGAGAGTAAATATGACCAAAATACAATGTATAAAATTCACAAAAATATTAATAAAAATATTTTAAAAGAAAAATAAAAAGCTCAAGTACCAGGTGAGATCAGGGTTGTCGAAACATGATAGGCTGCTGCTGTTATTCTTAGTTGTCCCCCAGAACTTGATATTAAGACCTTATTGCTGAAGATACCACAACTTTGATCACAGAACACGGAGAAATGAAGTTGGAACTGAAGGAAGCGGCCACCTGACTGGTGAGCTCACATAGTCCTGGAAGGGTGCTGTGCAATCTATTGGGAGAAGAAAAGGCCATCAACCATTTTACTCAGTTGTGAACATTTGGAGTTACGACAACAGCTGTGCCATAAGAAGTGTTGATGGGTGCAATAGAGGCACAAATATTATGGCATCAACCAACTACCTTCGGATTGGATTTAAGGCTTGCTCTAGAGAGGAGATACCTGCCTGATATTACACATCTGGCCAAGAATCCATGGTTCAGAAGCTCACAGGCTCCATGGGTGAACTTAACACTATTATTTTCTAGATGGACTCTGTAGTGAACTGACATTTCTATACCCCTAGATTAGGGCAGTTCTCACATCTCATAGGAGAAGTTTCTTTGTGCAGTAAACAGCAGCTAATGCAGAAACTCACAAAGTGCAGAGAACATGGATCTGTGGAGCACTCAGTCAGAAGTGGGACACTTGTATCACACCCTCTCCTCCAAAGCTCAGGATTGTTTTGGAAGAAGGAGCAGAAGAATTATGAGGGTGAGAGGTCGGGGACAACTGGAGGGAAACAATGTCTTCTGGATATGACAAGACCAGTGTACTCACAAACCCACAGCTCCAGTGCTTGTCTGCATAAGACCTGTACAAGAGCAAGCCACTCAGTATTCCAGCACAGAGAGAGGCTGTCCTAAGTCCCCACCCTTCAATGAGGAACTATTGATGGTTGATGGCTTTTGGGAAGAGGGAAGTACACTTTGAATAAGGGTGTGGCTCTTAGTATGTTAAACAAACAGGCTGGGTATAGTTCCCCACCCAAGCTATATAGGCAGTATAAACTGGACTTACTATTTGTTATTTAAAAAAACAAAAAAGAGGAAGAAGATTTAAAGTTGAGAGGGAATGGAGAGTGGAGCGTGGAAATAAACCCAGCAAGAACTGGAGGTAAGAGTGACAGCAAATATAATTTAAAACACATTGTATTTATGTATGACATTCTCAAAAAAATTAATGAAAACTTATTTTAATTTTTAAAATCAAAGACATGAAAATGCTGTACTATTATATATCTATCCCTTGTAATGGAAGACTAAAAGAGGGATAAAATCTATGAGCAACATTTGAAGCATGGAAAGCCAAAAGCAAAGTGGCAGAAGTAAATTGAACCTTAATTACAAATAATTACCCAATCCAGTCAAAAGGCAGGGATTATCAGACCGTATTAAAACATGAAACAAGACCCAAGTATACGCCGCATAAAGGAAACACACTTTAGATCCAAAGATACAAATAGGCTGAAAGCAATAGGAAGGGAAAGATAAACCATGCAAACAGCAGCTCTGAGCAAGCTGCATTAATATCAGACAAAGGGGACTTTGAAATAAGAGCTAGAAAAGGGAAGACCACCCAGGAAGAAGACAGGGGTAGCTAGGAACAGAAAGTTTGGGGTGAGACTCTGGGAACTCTCAAATTAAGAAGTAGGACAAAGAAGAAAGATTTTTGTGAAAGAAAACCCATACTATGGCCTTTCTCTAGGCCATGGTCTAAAGTGCACACCTTAGAAGCCTTCAGCCCCTGCTTGCGCACTGACCCCGTGTCTGACAAGTGAGGAAACGATAGACATGAATAGTGACTTTCCAGGCAGAGGAATAACAAAGCAGGGCTGAACCTAAAACCTTCTATTTTCTTTCTCTGTGTCTTTCTGTTCTACCCTCCCTTTATTCCCTACCCCCTCCTCAGACCCCTTCTTCTCTCTTGCTCATTGGGGTTTGAATTAGTCAGGGTTCCCTAGAGGTACAGAATTTACAGAAAGAATCTCTGTTTCTATAGAAGGGGATTTATTAGAACAGCTTACAGGCTGTGGCCCCACTGGTTCAACAAGGCTGCCTATGAAGGAAATGTCTAAGAATCCAGTGGCTGTTCAGTCCACAGGCTGGATGTCTCAGCTGGTCTTCAGCAGACACTGGAATTCCAAAGAAGTAGACTCTAATGCCACTGCAGGAATGGGCTTGCTACAGAGACAGAGCAAGCAGGCAAAGAGCAGCACCTTCCTTCTTCCATGTCCTCATATAGGCTTCCAGCAGAAGGCTTGGCCCAGATTGGAGGGGTCTCTTCCCACCTCAAAGATCCAGGTTAGAACATAGTAGAGCATATACTTTTTTTGTATGATAAGGCCTCTCTTGGGTATATTCCCAAGAGTGGTATTGCTGGGTCCTATGTTCATAGCAGCATTGTTTGTAATAGCCAGAACCTGGAAACAACCTAGATGCCCTTCAATTGAAGAATGGATGAAGAAAGTATGGAATATATACATATTAGAGTACTACTCAGCAGTAAAAAACAAGGACTTCTTGAAGTTTGCAGGCAAATGGATGGAAATAGAAAACACTATCCTGAGTGAGGTAAGCCAGACCCAAAAATAGGAACATGGGATGTACTCACTCATATTTGATTTCTAGCCATAAATAAAAGACATTGAGCCTATAATTCGGGTTCTTAGAGAAGCTAAATAAGAAGGAGAACCCAAAGAAAAACATATAGGCATCCTCCTGAATATTAACCTTCATCAGGCGATGAAAGGAGACAGAGACAGAGACAGAGACCCACATTGGAGCACCGGACTGAAATCTCAAGGTCCAAATCAGGAGCAGAAGGAGAGAGAGCACGAGCAAGGAACTCAGGACTGCGAGGTGTGCACCCACACACTGAGACAATGGGGATGTTCTATCGGGAACTCACCAAGGCCAGCTGGCCTGGGTCTGAAAAAGCCTAGGTTAAAACCAGCCTCACTGAACACAGCGGACAATGAGGACTACTGAGAACTCAAGAACAATGGCAATGGGTTTTTGATCATACTGCACGTATTGGCTTTGTGGGAGCCTAGGCAGTTTGGATGCTCACCTTACTAGACCTGGATGGAGGTGGGTGGTCCTTGGACTTCCCACAGGGCAGGAACCCTGATTGCTCTTTGGGCTGATGAGGGAAGGGGACTTGGTTGGGGGAGGGAGAGGGAAAGGGGAGGCGACGGTGGGGAAGAGACAGAAATCTTTAATAATAAAAAAAAAAGATCCAGGTAAGAATTGGATCATTCCACTTTAAATTCAGGGGGAAAAAAATCCCTCACAGGTGTTCCCCATGTAGAGGCTTTAGTTAATTCCACATGGAGTCAAGTTGACAATCAAGAACAGCCATCACAGTCTATACAACTACTTTTGGAACCTCAAGGTTGTAGATGTGCAGCCTGCTGAGATCTTTGGGGAACACTATCAAGATTTCAAGTTTATGGAAGCAGTTCAAGCTGTCCTTGAACTATCTGTTCCTTCAGGAATGACTGGCTGGCTCCCTGGGGTTTGGATGTGAAAAGTCACACTCCTAAGAAGATGTGACTGATGCGTCAAGAAGACGCCCTACTTCTGTGAGTCCATGCATTGGCTTGAAGAACACAGTCACCCTATCAGAGACCTTGAAAGCCGGGGAAGACCAGACGGGACCTGTAAGAAGTAATGCCCCTGCAGCAAGAACTTGATCCACAGGTAGAAAGAGGCAATTAGGGAGAGTCTAGAGATGCTTCCATGTTGTGGCTTTTTTTAAAAATTTTTTATTAATTTATTAAAGATTTCTGACTCTTCCCCGCCACTGCCTCCCATTTCCCTCCCCCTCCTCCAATCAAGTCCCCCTCCCTCGTTAGCCCAAAGAGCAATCAGGGTTCCCTGCCCTGTGGGAAGTCCAAGGACCACCCACGTCCATCCAGGTCTATTTGATGCCATTGCAAATATCCCAGTGACTCCAGATGTTTGAACCCACTTAGGTCTAGAGAAAGCAAATGCATGGCCACTCTTACCATGGAAATGTCAATGATTCTTTATTGCCTGGACATTTCAATTGTTTGTTGGCATTGACGCATGACGTCTATGCCCTTGGGTGGCTTTTATTTGGGAAAACCATCAACAGGCAGATCCTCCCATTCTTAGAGGTCCATGAGAATTCAGTAGAGATAAGCCGAGTTTATGGTTTATATCCTTCATAGTGATGTCCTTGCTTCCTCACTGGCATTATCTGCAATAAGAATCTGATCCCAGGGCGAGTCCTAATCAACCACAGTAGAATCAAATTCCTCCATTTAAGGAGGAGGGGGAAGAGGAGGAAGGAATAAAAGGGCTGTTGTATACAGAACTGTATTTAGTAATGGTAAATAGTAATTGTTTAGAATAGTACATCACTATCACAATAAATACAATTGGAGCCAGCTCCTCTTGGAACATAAGCAGTGATGAGGGCAAAGATTAGGTAGTTTGGAAAACCATAGAGCCCTGACGTGGGTTACAGCCTAAGGCCTCAGACAACTTGCAATTGCATTCATGAAGAATGAATTTGACATGGGACAGTTGTAAGGCGATTTATTGGTTCCTTCCCACTGTTATATGAGCATGGGAGGCTGAGCCAAACATATCGTTATTTATAAACTCCAGCATATTAAGCTATTGCTCTGGGCTCGAGTTTCATTTCACACATCTCATTTCCTCTTCAATTCTAGGCATCTGGGCACAGTAAGAATTCTGATACTCAGTGGAAGGTGACCCTGAGGGGTGTTGTTGGCAGCTTTCCTTATTACTGTCAATAGAAGAAAGAAATTATCGATGCATAAGTTCCGCTTTTCTGCTGATGCCTTATAGAGAACTCTCAGATAGCTCGGGGCTCATGAAAGAGACGAAATCACTATTGACAATGCTCCCTGTAGGACATTATAAGCGAACCAAATTGGACTACTCAAGTGCACGGAGAGAGGTATGGGTTCGCATGTTTATTTGAGTGCGTATATATGTATAGGCGCCTGCACATGTGTGGAAGCCAGAATTTCAACCACAGGTATAAGTCTTCAGTAGGCATTCACCCTGGTTTTTGAGACAGAACTCGCACTTGAATCTGTGGTTCACCTATTAAATTAGACCAGGTGGTCAGCCAGCCCCAGGATCCATCTGTCTCGACCTACTCAGCACTAGAATTATAAATGCATGCCATCATTCCTGACTTCTTTTATGTGGGTCCTGGGAATCAAACTTAGGTCCCCATGCTTATTCTGCAAATACTTTACCAACTGAACCACCTCCCTACTCCTTAATCCTCTCTCAGTTTGGTGTTCATGATGTGGAAAGTAAGGGACATCATGACTTCTTAGGAGCAATTGTAACGTGGAGGGAGCATGGAGGGAAAAGGAAATCCTAATAGCTCTCATTGCTATAATTCATCACATCTTTAAATGTTTAAAAAAATCTTTAGTGTTTTCTTAAACATGGATGCTACTATTAAGAAAGAGAAAATAGACTCATGGACATTTATAGTCAACTTTTATCAACAAAAGTGTTTAGTTCTGTGTATGCAACTTATTAATATTAAAGTATAATGTCCATTCTTATTTCTGAAGACTATGAACCAGGTAAGTGTAACACATGTCTCTAAATACAAATGAAAGCCAACAGTGCTGAATATAGAAAACACTCTTAAAACACAACTTGTTTTTACTAGGTCCTAACCTTTTCTTGAGATTTTATTTCATTGTAAAGATTTTATTCCTTAGGAACTTCATTCACAATACAGTAAGCAAAGAGTCATTAGTAAGAGTCCCGTATCATTATAATCTGCTGGACTCCATGCTGACGCTTTATCCGTGGTGCGTCCATTATCTAAAGCTGCTCACATCAATATAGTGGTATATTAGTTGTGTTTTAATAAATAAATCTTGTCTGAAGATCAGAGGGCAAAACAGCCACACTAGTCAGCCATATAGGCCAGGGAGTCATGGCAAACACCTCTAATCCCAGGACTCAGGAGACAGAGGCAGACGGATCTCTGTGAGTTCAAGGCCACCCTGGGTTACCAAAGATCGGTCAAGAAACAGATCCGGGTGGTGGTGGTTCCACTTTTAATCCCAGCACTAGAGACATGGAGAGAGGAGCGACTTGACTGGGCAGAAGGAGGAGGATAAAGGAGAAGAGACAGGAACTCTCTGTGGTGTGCAGTCTGAGGATTTGTGGAGACAGGATTTCGCCTATTCAGTATGAAGATCTGGTAGAGGTAAAAGGTCTCTCTAGTGCTTGACTGCTTTGCTTTTCTGATCTTCAGCTTGAACCCCAACATGTCTCTGGGTTTTTATTATTCTTGCCGTACATCAATGTACCAATGGGCCTGTGCCACGTCCATTTTTAAATCCGCCAAATCCAAGAAACCGCTGATTGTACCCATTCAACAAAAATATTGCCTGTTTAGAGGGATAACCAGAATAGCAGAAGAAATCAGCTTCCCAAATGCTTTTCCTGCCACTGTCTAGTTATTCTCCCCTGCAATACTCTAACAGACGCACCTCTATGTGGTTACTTAAAGAAGGAAGCAGGGGCTATGTGTGCGAAAGGATAATTTCCAGATGGTTTCTGTCAGGAACCTTCACTGCCCATGTCAGGTTGGCATGAGCACTAAGTGCCGTTCAGTGGTTTGTCTCTGTGGATAGCCATTTCCTCCTCAGCACCAAAGATCCAATCAATGACGCTTCTTAACTGTCCAGGAATCCCAAGCTGGATTGACAGGAATGAGTTCCTTGTCTTCTCATTCTGTCAAACAGAATAGCTGTAGGCTTCCTACAAGGAGGCAACGTCAGGAAATAACACAGTAGTGTCAGATAGTCCAGGTTTGGAGGTCCCTCCTCGGGATCTCAGAATTATCTCTTCTAAACCGAATGAACATAAGTCACTGGTGCCCATCTCATCTTGGAACAAGGACTCCCTTGAGAATCTGCAGAAAAAGTGCTGGAGCTTCTCCTCCCTGAAAAATACACAAAAATAAAAACTTCCTTAAAACCTATTCATATAACCAGCTCAGGTGAGGGGAAACAGGCCCAAGAATCCCAGGTTGCCTACCCATGTTCCTGTAAGTCTGAATTTGCTCCTCTTCAAATTATTCATTGCTACCTTTTACAAGGGCTGGATTACACCCGGGGGTCGCGGATTAACCCGAGGAAATCACATTCAGGTTCCGTGTGTTTGTCAAATGTATCTATCTATACATCAGGTGCTATGCCAGCTCATTCTTCCCTTCTCTGTCCCTGACCTCAAACCAAAGCATCAAATCAGAAATCCTACCTAATGGGTTTCACTGCTGGCAAAGTCCCACAGAATACTATTCTGCTGGTGCTTTCTGTGAGGTGAAAACCTTCCAAATGGTCCTAGCTCTACCCAGAACACGCAGTACTTTTCTGGTACTTTCCTGATCTAATCTAATCCCCTTCTCAGCAATGAAAGTCCATGCTTACACATACACACTACTTTTGTGTGCATTTTCATCTCGACAGAGTTGTGATCTCCACGTGACTCTCCTCACGACAGACATTTCTACTCCACGCTATTTCTAAGTCAGTGCAGCTGGACAGGGAAGATTGACAGGTGGGTAGTAGTAAGGCTTATCATTACAAGCACGAGAACCTGAGTCCAAATCCCTGACGCTCACACAGAGAGTGGGGTGTGATTACATATGTCTATAACCACAGCCCTGGGGGTGACCAATGACAAGAGGATTGCTGGGGTTTGCTGCCCACTAGCCCTACTCCAGGTTTGCAGAGAGACCCTGTCTCCAAGTAGGAAGTCTGTTTCAAACTGATGGACACACGGAGAGGCCTCTGTGCTCCGCACATATACAGTGTCCTGTGTATCAATGCATGTGCGCACATGCATGCACACACACACACACACACCAGACACACACCATACAAACACACACAATGTAAAACTAAAAAAAAAAATCAGTACTGCTGCTTAATCAAATGTTTCCCCTTCAGAAATACAGTTTGATGCATTTTTTTCAAAGCAGCAATGACTTCTCCCTGGATCCTCTTTTGATTGCCCACCTTAAAATCCCCAGCCGTTTTTCTTCTTCTCAATTCTTATAGCTCATGCCCATGTGTGCGGGGAGGGTGTAGTGTTTGATCTTGTTTGTCTCTTTCTGCATCCACCACTTAGTGCCACCAAGCAGGTTTATGGCTCGCTATTGACTCTACCTCACCTCTTGATGAGTCAGTTTAAATGAAGACTAGTTTAAAAAAATAGAAAAGAAGAAAGAAAGAAAGAAAGAAAAGGTCATTCTTCAAATGAGCCCTAACTATCAGATGTTTTAGTCATTGGCTACTAAGGGCTGTCCCCATACTGGCTGAAAACATGGAGTCTGCCTTGAATATGGAGCCTTAGCTGAGAATGTTCCTCTGGCTTCTATTTTTTTTTTTCACTTTCGTTTTTTAGTATTAAGACCAATTACCCACACTACAGGTTGCCTTTGGGAGTAATAGGGTGAATATCACTCAGGCGAAACCAACCAGCCTCTTTCTGTAAATGAACTTTGTACAAAAGGAGTCTAACATGGAGTAGCTTCCATTTCACTGCATGGCCCTAAATGCCTCCTGGTTGTAATTAAGTACTTCAAAGTCTTCCAAACACCCTTTTAGAAATGACTGCCCCAAATACAAAATGATGTCCAATCAGATGTAAATCATCCCGCAGCAGGGAGGGAGACGCTTGGGCAGCAGTCATCAGCCCTTGGACTAATCAGAAAGCCTGGTCCCCTGATGAGGATTTTCATTTCCTCGTTTGTCATTCTAACCACTGAGGTCTCAAGTGGCCAATTTGCTCCCTATTGGTAATCAGCTAGTTATTTTTACTCTCGTTCCTCCCTCTGGGACTGTCAAACTACTCGGAGCAATTCATCACCCTTTTGGGCCAAACTCTTCTATGACGGGAAGTGAGGGAAGAGAGATATTATCCTGCAAAAGATAAAATCGAAGAATAGTTCATCACTCATATTCAGTTTTTAAACAATGATTTCCCCAATGAGGTAAGTAAAATGATGACACAACTGGGTAAATGTGGAAAAAATGAAAGAAAGAAAGACAGAAAGAAAGAAAGAAAGACAGACAGAAAGGAAGAAAGAAAGAAAAAAGAAAGAAAAAAAAGAAAGGAAGAAAGACAGAAAGAAAGAAAAAGAAAGACTGAGAAGCTCCAGGCTAAGCACATTATGAAATGGAAATGATCTCCGGCTGTGAAGTCTGTAGCTCTGAAATGACGTGTTCTTAGATTGTCTTTACAACTCCCCAAAGAGTGTCATTTTACATTCATTACTTACTTTGCAGGAAGCTGCCCCTATGAAAATTATCAATGCAGAAAGGAGCATACTAAGGCTGCAGGAGACATTAGTGGTTATCCTAAACCACGCTAGCCCGCCCACCACCTGGGAGGAAGGTAGCCTTTGAAGGTTGTTTGGTCTGAAACAGGACAGTTGCTGTGGTACCGAACATCCCTCCTTCCATCTGCCCCTGCGGGGACTTCTCACTTACAGGATCCCACTTTGGACCGCCCCCCTCATTTCCCTCCTTTCCACCCTAGCAATCGCCGTCTGGCTCTAGCAAAATCATTTCCAAACACGGTTGGTTCCAGGCGTTTCATTTCTCCGGGTTCACCTTGGGGGCCACGCAAAGGTTGGCTTCGCTTCTCTCTGCAACCGGGCCTCTGATGTCAGTACGCTTTCTCATTAGTGGGTGTCTGTGGTGCTGTCCTCTCAGGGTTCCCTCACCCATCCTGAAGAACCAAATTTCAAGGGCCGACTGGTCCCCACAGCCGGTGGTTTGTACTCCCCAAGTCCAGGCTCAGCCTTGAGAGAGATGTTAGTATGACAGAAATCGGCATTTTCTTGGCATTTCCTTTGCCTATAGCCAGCTCTTTATTCCTTGGAAGAAAGCTGAGAGCTGAATAGCCCTTCTAGCTGTTTCCTTAGAGACCGGCTTTGGGCGGCATCATGATCTGAATCTTGAAATGCTTGTCTTCCTCCGCCAGTTTCGCTGTCTTGAACCTCCTCTTGTGTCTTTACACCGTATACATGCTGTCCGGTGTCACTTTTTAGTTGTGCCTATCTCTAACGAGAATGCAAGGAGACAGAGAAAGCACATTAACTGCCCGTTTCAAGTGCTCCAGCTTTTCGTCTGCTAATTCCCTCCGAGCAGGGCTGTTTGCACACCGGGTGATGTCACCCAACAGCTGTCTTGGACTGAAAACTGAAATGCTTGTGGATTTCCAGTCTTTTGTCTTACCTACCCAATGATCTGTCTCCTTTCCAAAACACTAGAGAAATAAAAGAATGCTTGGCTCCCTTGCCCGAGAATCGAATCTTACGGCTTTAAAGAAACTGTTTCACAATTTACTCAGCTAATGCTTTAGTATAATTGTCTAATTTAGTTTGTAATTGTCAAATTTGATTCTAAATCTGCTTTCAAGAATCATTAACTGTAATGTGTTATGGAAATGAGCTTTAATATTTAGTGGAAAAAATACATTTTTATACAAGTCTATTTTCCAATTTGCAGTTTGGAGAGAGAAAGTGTGTGTGTGTGTGTGTGTGTGTGTGTGTGTGTGTGTGTTTTTGCATGTGTTTGTGTGCACATGCATTAAAGAGTGTACACTAGGGTGGGAGAGATTATAATTTATCTGCCCAGTGTCTCCAGGTTTACCTAAGTATACCACACCTTTATATCTGGTGTAGTTTAGGCTAATAGATCCCTTAGATATAATGAATGGAGCTTTCTGTGTCCCATTTTATGCAAAAATTAATCAGTTTAATTACTTATCTTTTAACGGGTATCCTTATTAGCCATCCTTACCAAATGACATCCTGTTACGTACACACATGCGTTATCAGTGACATCTTGATTTCTCCCCCCATCTTCTACCCTTTCATCTTGTTCTCTGGCATCATGATGCTGCATCCTCTGCTCCTTGCCCCTGCTGTGGCCATTGCATTCATTCTCTTTCTTCCTCCAAATGTTTGTTTATACAAGACCGAGGCAGTTGCCAGTGACTGCTTCTCCAGACTGCCATGGATCACCTGGAGGCCATGCGGACCTTGCTTGCAGTGCAGCACGTTCTTAGAAACTCTATCTGTTTAACCAGCACCCGGCCTGAGGAAAAGAATTCAGAAACTGGAGGGCACTTGACATAATCATTATAAACAAAACAGTAGCTCATATTTTGTTGTCTCCCTCTTCCCTCTTTCCCTTTTACTCATTATCTTTAATTTTTTTTTTTTTTTTTTGATTTTTCGAGACAGGGTTTCTCCATAGCTTTTGGTTCCTGTCCTGGAACTAGCTCTTGTAGACCAGGCTGGCCTCGAATACTCATTATCTTTTATAAATGTTAAAAAAAAAAATATTGGCTGGTGAAAGAGTCAGAAAGAACCATCCAAACAAACTGAAATTAAACAACAGGACCATCCTTTGTCTCAGATCAGTTGGAAAGAACTCACGTTGATAACCTAAAACCCTATCAGATTTTGCCCCAGTCTACTCTAGGTTGCTTAGGGAGCCTTCTGTAAAACTGTGAAATCTATCTGTCCTTTTCAGGGGATCCAGCTCTCCAATCAGTCAGAGCACACCCCTCCAGCACGCTTCATTACAAGAGGTGGCTACGCCTTCTACAAAGTTATTTATTTGGGTTTAAATGAAGTTACAACAACATATCTCTTCAGGGACTTAAAGTCTTGCTTTCCCTTAGGGCCCTTGCCTTGAAAATGTCAGTGAGGCTCAGAAATGACTAGGGAAAGGCTCCCTGGCTGAAGGCCAACCTCTGGTACAATGATTACATCATGAGGTACGCCATAGGAATTATTTCCCTGGTTCCTGTTTAGAAGCTGACACACAGGACTGTGCTTTTCCTCCTTCATGTTAAGATCATCTGCAGATGTCAAATTTTCCTGTCCTGAATGGGTACAAGCTGTGATATTGCCATTCAAGGACTTCCAGTAGCAGCAAAAGGAAAATTACGAACCAACTCCCCTCGGAGAGGAAGTGCCTATTCAAACAGCCAGTGTTGGCGGCCGTGAGCACAGGCAACGGCTACCTCCTTCCTTCCAGGAATGGCCCGGTCTCCAGCACCACTGCCTCTCCAATCACCGGCTGGTGAGATTGGCACTGAGGGAGGATGCTTGACAAAAGCAGTATTTGGCATAGTCTCACATATCCCAGAAGCACTCAGGGAAAGAACTGTCTACGTGCATTTTTTCCAAAGACAGAATGGCGCTCATTCATTGATTCTGTTAAATTTATGACAAATTCTTTAAAAAAAAAAAAAAAGGGACAGGCACAGCTCGGAAGTCTTCTACACATTCTAATGACAAATGTCTCCAGGATTGCCATCTGCTTATCCTCACTACTGAACTGGGGTGTGGCCAGGGAAGAGGCAGGGCAGAGAGGAAGGGCCCTTGCTGGGTCAGCTCATATGTCCTCTCATTTTCAGTCTAAGACTGGAGAGAGAGCCATTGGTGTGACCACTCAGCCCACATTTTTATTGTTTCCCAGAAACCTCACTGTCTCAGTTCTGGTGCCTGCTTTTTGACCAGGTCTCATTTGGGATAAAATAACTGGAGGTTTCCAGAAGGGAGTCCCTCCTTACATGCCTTTCCCTTCACCTTTCCCACACTCCTTGTTTTGGGGGTCAAGACAAAACACGTCTTTAAAAAAATGATATATTTATTTTCATCTTGTGTGCATTGGCGTTTTGCCTACATGTATGTCTGTTTGAGGGTGTCAAATCATTTAAAGCTGGATTACAGACAGTTGTGAGTTGCCACGTGGGTGGTGGGAATTGAACCTGTGTTCTCTGGAGAAATAGCAATGCTTCCAACCTCTGAGCCTTCTCTCCAGGCCCAAGACAAGACACATGATTGTGGGGGTGGGGCTGCCTTCCTGCCAAGGGCTCTGCCTGGGTATCACTTGAGAAATACTGGGCAGATGAATTCTCACCACTAATAACTCCAAAGTAGGCCCTCAAAGTGGAATCCCTTCTGTGACAACAGGGACAAAGGTTCACTGTGGCCTTCACAGGAATCTCTTCTTAAAATGCCCTGCCTGATGAGGATTGTGCATTATTCTTGTAGTTGTGAAAAGACACCCAACAAACACCTTAAGGGAGAAAGGCTTTGTTTTGGCACAGAGTTTGAGCGCACAGAGAGTTCATCGTGGAGGTTATGATGGCGGGAGCTCAGTGCATCCACAGTCAGGAAGCAGGGAGAGATGAAGGCTGCTTCTCAGTCCCTGTCTCCTTTTTATGGGTGGCTCTTTCCACAGTCTTAACCTAATGTAGAAGCTTGATCACAGACATGTCCAGACATTTACCTCCTCTGATTCCAGACACTGCCAAACTGTCACCACTAACCATCCCAGGGGGCATTTAAATTATTGGTACTAACATTGTTACTTGATTCCTTCATATAGTTCACCCTCATGTTTGGGGCCTTAGCTAAAATCTGATACTGTGCTCTGGACCAAGTGGACAGCTTTGAAGAGGGCACACATTGTCCCTTGCCTACAGAGCCACATTTGCTAGGACACAGAATATAAGGCCAGCAGATATATCAGAGTGTGATATGTGAAGGAGACTTGCCAAGAGGGACTTCTAAGGACTGGAGCTGGGACCTTGAGTAAACAACCTAGGTCACCTCTCTGTCATCAGACTCTTCCCTGTGTGCTGTTCCTAATGAGCATGGTTCCTCCTGGCAGGCATTGGGGTATGCAAAGGCCTCATTATCATGTCTCCCCTGGGATCCCAGCTGTACTCACACACCCTAAGGTGACTTCCTTCTAATGAAGCTCACCTTCCACCTTGGAGTAAACATCAATCCAAAGTAAGACAGGCTAAAGAGGAAGGGGAATAGGTAAAGACAAGAAGAGATGATGTGGGAGTGACTTCTTTCTAATCTGTTGCTTTCATTCGTTAATTAATAAAGAAACTGCCTTAGCCCATTTGATAGGCCCACCCTTAGGTGGGTGGAGTAAACAGAACAGAATGCTGGGAGAAAGAAGCTGAGTCAGGGAGTTGCCATGGTTCTCCCACTCCAGACAGATGCAGGTTAAGATCTTCCCTGGTAAGCCAGCTCGTGGTGCTACATAGATTATTAGAAATGGGTTAAGTGGCTGAAACTAGTGGGCCAGGCAGTGTTTAAAAGAATACAGTTTCCATGTAATTATTTCAGGTAAAGCTAGCCGTTGGGGCGGCTGGGTGCCGGGAAAGTAGCCCGCCGCTCCTATTACAACAAAGAGAATCAACAATAGAGACCAAGAAAAAAAAAGATATGTATGAACGGGAAGTGGGGTGGGCTGGAGGGAGGGAGAGAGAGAACATGATCATGCCGAACTTGCAAGTAATCCTCCTGACATTCTTCCTTGTCTGGGAGCACACATATATAGAGCTTGACTCAGGACACCTGGACATGAGTCACACACCACACTCCCATCACGCACGAACTGGGGCTTTTAGGACATATTGTTTCTGTATCCTCATTTGCAAAATAGGAGTTGTAAAGATTCAGTCCCACAAGCTGGGCTCTTTCGGCACACTGGTACAAGATAAGCAAGTTGATGCCCGTTAGCAGTGTGTTCAGTGTGCAGAAACGCTTTAAAAGCCTCCTGCTCATTGCTCTTCACGTAAACGAGCGTATGCACAGTGAATGTGAAGAACTGCTCTCTGCCTTGGAGTTACTGGACTTAAAAGGCTGTGGAACTTTGTGGTACCCAGAAAGGGAACGTGGGCAATTTTCTCTACAGTATTTCTTTCTCATCATCTCCAGAGTGTGTCCATGGTGTTCCTAATGTCTCCACGCTCTCACACATCAATCATTTCCCATCTGTGCTCATCTATCTTGATGAGCTTGCTATCTAGTGACCACATCCAAGCTTGCAGGAGTCCACTTGCCAGCTCTTTGGCATGTGTCCATGAATGTTCTCATGAGGCTGTAGGGAGATAGAACACACTTGCTGTCTGAGAACACTTACATTTGGCAGGCAAAGTCCTCCTACATTGTATGGCTCTGCGAGCCCATGGGGAAGAAGAATTGCAGTACAAGTAGCTGAGGCCAGACTTAGGGGAGACCATTTGAGCCATACTTGCCAAGTCAAAAGCTATCGAGTTTGGGAACAGTTGGTTCTTCATGAGCACCTAGAAAGATGATAAGTTAACTTCTTACCTTTGCTGCCTGGGAGTCTGCTGTTCATTAGCAGAAGAGAATTTGTCGTGGGGAACTGAGAACAACAAACTTTGAGAAAACGTTCCAGTTTGATAGTGCTACTGAATGGAGCACAAAGACTCCACAGTCATCAATGGGCCCGGCTACTGATGGCTTTATAATGTGTTGATCTTATTGGGAATGGGAGAAATTTAGAAGGTGGAGTTGGCTTGGACGAAGCAAATTACTGGAGCGTGTTCTTGGGGCTTTGTCACCATCCATGAGGTGACAACTGTACTCTTTCACTGTGACATTCCATCTTACCACAGGCCCAGAAACATTGGAACGAGCTGAATATGGTCTGTAGCTTCTTAAACTGTAAGCCCAAATACATCTTCCCTCCTTTTCAGAGGCTTTCAGGTGTTGCTCTTGGGAACTGCTTCTCCACACTAGCTGTCTGTAAACAGAGACTGCGCTTTTGTTTCCTGGCTATTCAGACCTGAATAATCACACAAAGCTATATTAATTACAACACTGTTAGACCAGTGGCTCCAGCATATTCCTAATTATCTCTTACATCTTAAATTAACTCATTTCTATTAACTTATGTATTGCCATGAGGCTGTGGCATTACCTCATTTTCTAAATGTCTTGCTTCCTTGGCGACTGGCTGGATTCTTTCTCCTTCAGTAGCTACATGGCTTCTATCTGATTCCTCTCTCTCTCTCTCTCTCTCTCTCTCTCTCTCTCTCTTCATATATATATTTGGATTTTCTTCTTGGATTTACTCTGCTAAGCCATTGGCCAAAACAGCTCTATTCATCAACTAATAAACGCAACACATATACAGAAGGACATCCCACATCAGTTGTCTGCCTCAAAAAGAACAAAACCATTAGCACCATGCTGCAAAAGGGCATGCTCAAGAAGATTGAACAGGGAGAAAAGTAAGCAACCACACAG